AGCTTTGCGTTCTGAATGCCGGGCACTGTTTGGGGTCGACGCTTGGAGAACCGCTCAGAACCTACACCCAAAGAGCCCAATACCTCTTAGTTAAGGAATATACCTTAAATGGGATCCTTGATATTGATTTGAGGTATATTCCTGGATTAAGGGGTATTGAGGGGTATTGGGCTCTTTGGGTTTTGGGGATCTCAAGGCAGTGGCCGAGAGCTCCGAACCTGCAAGAAAGAAGGGTTTGGGATCTACCCTATACCAGAAACCTTAAGCTCTGGACCCTAAACCCGAAACCCCAAACCCGGAACCCTAAACCCTGAACCCTGAACCCTGAACCCTAAACCCTAAACCCTGAACCCTAAACCCTAAACCCCAAACCCTAAACCCTAAACCCTAAACCCTAAACCCTAAACCCTAAACCCTAAACCCTAAACCCTAAACCCTAAACCCTAAACCCTAAACCCTAAACCCTAACCCTAAACCCTAAACCCTAAACCTTAGCCTTTATGCGCCGCAAATGCCGCCATGGCACAGGTCGCCTCAGGAGCTCCTGTGGCCGTGGAGGAGGACGAGGAGAGCAGCGCCCGCGCACCAGAGGCCTGGGGATAGGAGTTGGGAGGAGCCCAAACCCTAAACCCTAAACCCTAAACCCTAAACCCTAAACCCGAAACCCTAAACCCTAAACCCTAAACCTTAACCCTAAGCTGGTTTGGGTTGGTTTTGGGGTTTCAGGGTTTGGGCTCTTTCGGGTTTTGTCTTCTTCGGGATGCAGGGAGCAGGGATAGGCTTGGAGTTCCTAAGCCCTAGACTCTCAAGAGTTTGGGATTGGGTCTAAGGGTTTAGGGTCCTAAACCCTAAACCCTAAACCCTAAACCCTAAACCCTAAACCCTAAACCCTAAACCCTAAACCCTAAACCCTAAACCCTAAACCCTAAACCCTAAACCCTAAACCCTAAACCCTAAACCCTAAACCCCAAACCCTGCACCCTAAACCCTAAACCGTAATAAGTTTTGAGCCCAGACTTGGTCTGCTTTAGGACCACGTCTATTTGAGCTATCGCCAAGCTTTGTTGGGCCCAAAGAGCCCAATACACCACACAATAAGAGGGAATCTATGGGTTTTGGGGTTGGGGGTTCAGGGTTTGGGGTTTAGGAATGTACCTTAAGTCATATTAAGGATGCCTATATCATTTGAGGCTTTTTTCCGTAGTTAAGGAGAATTGGGCTCTGTGGGGGGGGGGGGGGGGGATAATTTCTTCTTCGGGCTTAGGCGACAGGATTCCGGAGAGGGATCTTATGCGTACGCGCGACTTCAAATTGTTTGGTACGGTTGCTTCTGCAGGGCAGATCGGGGCACCCTAAGGCACCGATAGGGTTTTAGGGTTTAGGGTTTAGGGTTTGGGGTTTGGGGTTTAGGGATTCGCTTAAAGGAAGCTCAAAACGTTTCAAGCGCCCCTCAAATGCAATGACAATTGTGATGACCTTCCTTTCATCTTTTCGGGCCCCTTATGCCCCTCCTAGTTGTTGGTAGCCTGCATCCTAAGTATGTAGCAGAGAGAAGGGTTTGGGGGCCTCGCATCTAGGGTTTAAGATTCGTGTAAAAGAGGCACACCCAGAAGGGTAGCTAGTTTTAACAAACAACTTCCGGCCCCAGGTGAAGCAGTACGCCTTGCAATGCACCGGCGTGGGCAAAATGTGCGGGCCTTAGCAACGGCTGCCCGGCATTCTGTTTCTGGGTGCTTTTTTTTGGGGGGGGGGGGGGGGCTTTCGCAGCTTCAGCGGCAACCTGAAGCTAGGGTTTGGGGTTTAGGGTTTAGAGAGGCCCTACAATCTCAGACCCTGGCCTCCCAAAACCTCAATATGCAACCCTTGGCCGGAGCTGCCTCGTTCTTCGTCAGGATTTTGGGAACCGTATGTGATCCCTCATCACTTAATCTTGGTAGCCCAGTGGTACCCCAGTGGTACCCTTTACGCTTTTTTGTTGGCTTTGGGTTCCCTTATATATATATATATAAAGTAGCCACGCCAAAACAGGGTGCCCGTATTGTAATATGGTTACTGGGCTATCAAGTTATGAGGGTTGTGTGGGGGATCTGGGGCTCTTCTCATCACCGAAACCCTCAACTTAGGGTATTTAGGGTATTTAGGGGATTAAGGGTATTAAGGGTATTAAGGGTATTTAAGGTATTTAGGGTATTTAGGGTATTTAGGGTATTTAGGGTATTTAGGGTATTTAGGGTATTTAGGGTATTTAGGGTATTTAGGGTATTTAGGGTATTTAGGGTATTTAGGGTATTTAGGGTATTTAGGGTATTTAGGGTATTTAGGGTATGTAGGGTATTTAGGGTATTTAGGGTATTTAGGGTATTTAGGGTATTTAGGGTATTTAGGGTATTTAGGGTATTTAGGGTATTTAGGGTATTTAGGGTATTTAGGGTATTTAGGGTATTTAGGGTATTTAGGGTATTTAGGGTATTTAGGGTATTTAGGGGATTTAGGGTATTTA